AAGCGAAAAGAATAGCGAGAGATCCAAAAGACAGGTGATAAACAAAAGTTTGATTGATGAAAAAAGAATAGTTATATGGAAAAACAACAGAGTTTTTTTTACTGGATATGAAAAATCACAAATAATCAATACATCTGCACCAGCCATTCACAACAATTTTGTGCCATGTCATGAATTATCTGCAGCCTTCATTGGTTTCTACCACCCCAAGGACCCCGACCAGCTAGCCAGTAGTCAGAGAGTGTACACCTCTCTACGTAAATGTCTGGCTTAAAGTAGCTGTTATGGATTTGTCAATGACTGATAAAGCCATTTTTTTTGGTTTGACCACCTTGTGGTTCTTTTCCAACCTGATCCTATGTTAGCTAACACTTCCAAGAGCACACGAAGCCCTGCTGTTCATCATTCTCGTTTACCTATATTATCCTCATCATCCTATTTTTCTCTTGCTGCTGTTCAACCATCTTCCTTTGATTTTGTGACCATATGTGGCGACGAGAGCCAGGAAACACTCCTCATATTCTCTTAAAGCCACACACCGCCAACTTCATATTGGAGCATTTGAGGTTAAGACGACCCTCTGCCAAATCGGATGACAAGCATCACTAGCAAGAACTCTGACATCTCGAGCCATGGATGTATGTTGTGTTTCAGAGACAAGCATACAAGACCCGAGTTTTGGTCTTGGTCACTTAACCTCACCTGGCCAACAAGGTGAATCTGCAAAATTGACCTTATGAGGGTGTTGGGAGATTTTTCAGCTAGTTAGCGAGAAATCTCAGGTGTATGAATTGCATTGAGTGTTAGCGTAGAAAACTTACTTCTTGAATGGATTCCAGTAGGTAGTCGTATATGTGTGCGGTCCGTCCGAACGAGTTCGTTAGAAGAAGAAGAAGAAGAAGGGAGGACTGCGTCACCCGTCGATGCCTTTACATAGTCTCCGCTTACTCCCTAACCGAACGCACTTCGGATGAATTGCATGGTGATCTCTACGAAAACTGTGTATTTTGCTGGGAAAACAAAAAGCTTAGACGTTTGTTGTTTTACCAGGCAACTTCAATGCCCAAGTAGGAAAGTTATGCCAGACTGAGAAGTATATTGATGTTCCCTGCCGACGAACTGACAACGGTAATCGCATTCTACAGTTCTGTCAAGGTGTTGGCTACCGACCACGATGAAAATATCTATTCAATTCGGTGTCTTTCAGACTGTAGACTGTCGTTGGAACTGTCGTGATTCTTTTTATAATTATCTGAAAATTATTCAATACAGTGTGAGTGTTGAGATTGACGATAATAATTCTGAACTAATCTTGGGTGTATTTTTCCAACACTCAAGCTACCAGTCACTTGCATTCCCCGCTCCATTTGGAAATGAGCCACAACTGTTGTGTTTGAAGTCTGTTGAAACCTGCTTATCGGGAGGGGGGGGGGGCTGGGTTCGAACCCACAATACAGTGTTCAAAAGTTGAAAGTAAGAAAACCGATAAGCCACAGCTTCACTTTTCAGTTCATAAAAATAGGCTTGTGATTGCATCAGACCATCTCAGTCGATTTGGGACTTGAGACTCTCTCTTCAGCTTGTCGAACGAATCCTGCATATTTGAACAACACTACAGCAATAATTTTTCCCAAAGTCAGAAACATATTACCACCGAGCTGTTCGGATAAAAATGAATCACCAAAATGTGTACATTGGTGTGTTAATATATTAGTAGTCGGTGAATTGAGTTCAATATATATTAAATATTCCCATAGTAAAATTTAGAACAACACATGTTAGCAACGATATTGTTTTCAATTAGATCTCATCAGGCTTAACTCGAATATGCCTACATAACTTTACAAATAAAAATTCAAACATAAACCAATCATGGTGTTTTGTCAATAGGATAATGAGATGGTGAATATAAATTGTGCAATTAGTCATTTTTTCCCTCACGTTCCCAGTGGAATATAGGGCCCCAAGCTAGTGGCTTGAAGTTTCTGTAGCAGTGTTTATTTTACAGGATGGGGGTTGCTAGCCTCATGTCCAACCTTTCCTCTTTACCAGGATTATTTCTGGCGTAGCGAGGTAAAGGAGTGCGTCTGTGGCCGGGGCTCGAGCCCCGGACCCTGTGCATGGTCGGCGAGCGTCCTAACCGCTATGCCACCGACACACGCAATTAGTCATAATAATAATAATAATAATGGTCTTATCAATAATAGGGATGAAAAAGTGAGGCAATCTGCGATAACACGAATAATGATTGGGACGCAAACGAAGGATAAGCTAGATAGTTTTACCACATCTATGTGCATTTATCAATTCAACTGCACCTGAGGTGACAGTTATGTTGGGCACACTACTACTAGACAGCTTAGCCAACGTGTTAGCGAACATCTCCCATCGTGGTTTAGCAAAGGACAGACAAAAACAATCCGTAGCTCAATTTTGTCATATTTAATTGACATTGGTCATATGTAGTAGAGAAAACGAGAGCCTTCAAAGTAATTCATCGTATCCCACCGAATCTTTCCAATAGACTTCGTATTCGTATACTGTGCACACAGCTGAGGCGATAGGCATTCGAACTATTAAACCTAAACTATGCTCATTCAAAAGAAGTTCGTACACAGCCATTATCCCTCCCTTGTTGGCCTATTAAGACATAACCAACTAATGACTTCTACACCCCACCCCTTACTTATATTTTCAACCCCTTTCTTACCATCCTTTAATCTTATCAAATCTTTATTATAAACGTCTCTCATTTACTTCCCTTACAATCTACCATTGCTTAATCGGTTCATTTGTTTTTACTAGCCCTAATCGACCACTACTTCCACCAACTAGAGAGACCAATTTCAGATTTCACCTTATTGACAATTGCCAATAAATGCACAGATATCAATTTCCTCTCACTCTGTCTAACATAATAAATTATTCATTTCCGGGATTGCATCACAAATAATCCCGAATTACTGTTGTTTTGTGTAGTAATACTTTTGCATGCATGATTGTATGTGTGTGTATGTGTGTTCCCGCGGAACCTTCACTTCTTTTTTCCTAAACAGTAATCAACTATATATGTGGATAACACTAGAGATTGTGTTTTTCTCTAGATAGAATTCAACTTTATTTTGATTAAACGTGTAGTTTTTTAACTATCAAGACATAAATGATGGTAAATTTTGGGGTGTGCGTGTGTATTTGTGTGTGTGTGTGTGCGAACATCGTGACTATGTATTCGTTTTAGCTGACATTTCACAATTTCAAATGAAGCCATTCAGAGAACCATATTCTCAGGTTTCAAATTATACAGCTCTAGGTGAAATTCACCACAGTTTTTAATAATAATATCAATAATAATAATAACAGTTTTATTCGGAACAGTGTTTATATAATGTACACAATTTTCAGCTCAGTTTGTGTAGCATGATATTTTCTACTCGTCCAGAATCTTCAAATTAAAAAAGATTAGTTACAGGATTTCATCATGACCTGACATTGGTTAGAGAACCATTGGAAAACCAACTGGGAGTACTGGAGATCTGTTTCATCCGAGTTTGGGACTCTCCAGCAGTAAGCACCCACTGTCAGGGTTCGAACCCAGGACCTTCTGGTTACAGAGCGAGCTCATAGACCATTCAGCCACTGAGACCCAATCCAATGGGCCATGATTTCTAACTACTGCCAATTCACGAGATAGCGCGACCACTGGCCAATGCCGTCGGCGAGTATTTGTCCTCAACCCGACATGCTGCACCCTGCTGGTCACGACTTCTCACCAGTAGGGTCTCGTCTCGCAAGAGACAGGGATAGGTGTAGTTGGTTCTCCTGAAAAGCAATACCTAGTCAATGGGTGTATCACTGAGTGAATAAACTGGCTGATCCTGCCAGTAGTCATATGCTTGTCTCAGTCAAAAAATCACCATTATTAAGCAACGTACAAGGAACAAATGTTTTATCCTATTTGCAGCTTATATAGTGTGGGGATTCATTAACCCCCTACGAAGAAAAGAATATTATTATTACTCTTCCACTTGGAGGATCTGGACTTTGCCGATGTGATATATGTCTGATTTCCCACAAACTGGAAGATATACAAGTTAAAAGTAACAAGTTGGCACAAGAAGCATCCAGAGAAGATAGGCCTTCCCTTCAGGTGAACATAGAAAAAACAGAGGTGATGAAGATTCCTGGGCAACACCACCAACAACAACAACAGACAACAATCAGCCAACATAAATGGGCGAAATCTGAGTGAAGCAACCTCCCTCACCTACCCACCTACCTACCTAGGAAGCATCGTTTCAACTACAGGCTGACGGAACTGATGAGGATATCAAAGTGAGGATCGGGAAAGAAAGGCAAACTTTGATTACTCTCAAGTCTGTGTGGAGGTCAGTACTCAGCACTCAGCATGAAAATGAAAATAAGATTCGGATTTTCAACTGAAATGTGAAGTCAGTCAGTTCTACTGTAGGGATCACACAGAGCACCTCAAACAAACTACAGACCTTCATCGACAGCTGTCTTCGCTCAATACTACTCAAGGTCAGATGGCCAGCCAGAAAAGATCAGCAACAGGGATCTCTGGCTCTGAGCGAACAAACCAGGAACCGATTGTGCAATAAATAAGCAGGAAGAAATGGAGATGGGTTGGAGGACATACTCAGAGAAAACCATCAAGTGACATCACTAAACAAGCCATTGCTCGAGTGGAACCCGAAAGAGAAGCGACGAGTTGGTCGTCAGTGCAAGGGTGACTTGGATGAGGTCATGTGAAGAGGAGATGAAAGCATGTAGGCAGACTTGAAGCCAGGTGGAAACGTTGGCAGAGAACGGAACGCAATGGAGACGTTTGACTGGAGCTCTATATTCCTCCAGGAATTTAAGCAAATAATAATAACTCTGTCATTCACTAGTGATTTTTAATCTTTTTACTATTGCTCTTCAATAAGATAATTAGTATGCCTTTTTACATTTTTTTCTCTCTCTTTTCTCTTCCTTTATAGACAACTATTCGCATCTTCGATTGTCTCTTCTATGAAGGTGATAAAGTGTTATTTCGTGTCTGCCTTTCATTGGTTAGATTACACTACAAAGATTTAATCCAATGCAAAGAATTCCCTGTTCTCATTACAGCTTTTCGTAATATGTGCAAAGATAAACAGACGCTGTATTGTCATCAATTTCTAGAAGTAAGTCAACAAGTTAATTTTTTTTGGTGGGGAGAGTGGGGCTTTGTTTTGTCTCTTTTCGTCTTTCTTATTCTTTTTTTGTTTTGGTTTTCATTTGGATCGCCTAATAAGTTGTTGATTTCACTGTCTAACTGATAATTTAACCTACTGAACAACTGAATCATTATTTAAGGTTTGGTGACGGATTCATGCATCATTGAAAACCAACTATCACTCAGCGGCCTCATCAGTGAGTGTCCATCTCCATCCATCTCAATTCACTTTCTGCTGCATATTTGTTGGTTGGCGATTGGTTCTTGTTTTGTTTGTTTGTTTGTTTGTTCCCATAGTTTCTTGTTGGTGATTCTTTCCTGTCCGGCCATCTGATCTTCATTATAGATCCAGCGAAGACATTTAGTTGTTGATAAAGGTATGTCTGCAATAGGCTGCTGGAAATATTCTTTGTGACCCGCCCGCCAATTTTCTGATCCTATCCGTATAGAAGAACTGACTGACTTGACGTTGTTTGTATTGAAAATCCGACTGGATTTTGTTGTTGATGCTGGCTGAGTTACGAAGATTTCGAGATTGGTTTTAGGTCGATAAATGCGTTTCTCGCCTTCCCGATTCTCGCTCGATTTGACATCCTCGTCCGTCCCTGTGACCTGTAGTTGAGACAATGCTCAATGCTAGATAAGTGAATGAAGTAACGTTTTTCAAATGCCTCCCGTTGATGGTGATTGGCACTGGATGTTGCTGCTGCTGTTGTTGTTGTGGCTGTTGTTGGTTGGTTATTTTCATAACCTCCGTGTTGTCTATGTTCACCTGGAGTCCTGTCTTCGCCGGCTGCTTTTTCGACCAGTTTGTCGGTCGGTTTTCGCTTGTAAGTCTTCAATTTTTTGTGACATCAAACATAAATCATCCACGCGCGAAATCCAGGTCTTCTAGGTTCTTCACGTCAGTCCAGGATATCCCTGTCTTCTCGTTTCCCACTGTGTGACGCATAATCCAGTCCACCACAATTAGGAATATCATTAGTGATAATAGGCAGGCACCCTTGTCTGACTCCCGTGTCTACTCCAAACTAGGAAATACTATCAGACAAGTGTTTTCTCAGCCTTGTTTGAAACCCATCGCCGGTAGGCACTTTCCGCCAGGGTTCGAACTCAGGACATTTCTCCCACAAGACATGTTTGTTGACCATCTATCTACTGAGATCCCAATCAATGGTCCTGAAAACAGATAAAATCCCCGTAAATAAACTCAAAAAAATCTGATGCTCGCTAGTGACTGGCTGCAGGATACAGTTGCGTGAACTTCAAGTGAGACATCGTGACCATCAGTAGTGGGTCGACGTAGTCTGGAGTGAGGACAAATACTCTCCACGACGAATGACATGTCTGTTGCCAGTCGGCCTAAAATCACCAAGTAGTACAATTCAGAATTCAAGGACTAGCCATTGAATCAGATCCCAGGGGGTGGAATCGTCTAAGAGCTCGCCTTGTAACCCGAAGACCCTAGTTTTTCATCAGTACCTTTTTGTGCATCCTTTGTATAATCCTATTCAATGAGACTGTCGACAGCGACTCAATCTCAAAGTCACTAAAATCAACTTGGGTCAGAATTCATAGTCAGATAATCATCTGTTGACAGTGTGGGAGTTTGTTGGTGGGCGTGACAAAATGACTTCATCTTTGCTGATATTAGATGATTAGAGGCCTAGGTTTCGTGCTGTTTGGTACTCACCAGTCTGCCAGGAAGGCGTATCTGCAACCTTGAAGGAACTCATGTCCCTTCTGAGATTCAAACCCGCGTCACCCCAGTGCCACCTGCAGTCAGAGACGTTACCACTGAACTATTCGGGCTCGCGGTTGATCTCCTGTAGGGCTGTAGTGGATATTTTGATTGGACACTAGCAGCTAGTTTGATGTGTCTATTTTTTTCTTTGGTGCAGACTGCAGACTCAAGGTTGCAGATACGCCTTCGTGACTGGTGAGTGTCAACTAGCACGAAACCTAGGTACAGCCAAGGCTTCCTGCCGATTGCCTCCAACCATCTAATATCATCAGATCAATGTGCACCATGATGGCGAGCTACCTAGAATGGTGGCCACATTACAAATATCTGACTGATAGAATTCAGTCTGCACCAAAGAAAGGACTAGACATATCACACTGGTTACTAGTGTCCAATCAAAAGATTTCATCTTTTTACTCTAATTACACCTACTGGGATAATATTGCCTAGACTGTTCCCCCAGAATCTGGATGAATAATCTTCTTGCTTCATTCTAGGTGGGCATTATATACATGAAAACTATGATATCAACCGCCACACAGCTACTTAGAAACATTAGAAACACAGGAGGATTTCAGAAAATCAAAAGTAATTGTGCATACACTTTGTCATAACTCAGTCAACTGGAACAGATTATTGGGTGGTTTGCCGAAAATTGATAGGCCACACTTGTTATATTCAGGCTGACTATATAATATATATTCAGCTGTTCAGGGTGATTAAAGGAGATCGAGACTCAATGCCAGATACTTTTTTTAATAATAATAATAATAATTTGCTTTATTCCAAAACAGTACTTGTGACACAGAATGGAATTCTCAGCATTTCACTACAGTACATTGCATCCAGTTTGCACATTAATAATAAATAAAATTCTACATAGAATATAGGTAGTCTCAGTTAATTTTGACAACAACATATTAGCCAGCATATCGGTATCAAAGCCAAAAGTGAACAGAATGTTTGAAGGTGTTAGAAAAGTAGATACACTAGCATATTTACTGGCGTGAGCGGTAACAAAAAGGTCGAGATATATAGAGTGTGTGAAAGAACGAACAAGAATGTTTTAAGTAGAGTTTGTAGGGAGGAGAGAAACAAAGCAGCACATAACAAAAAAAGAGATAGAGAAAAAAGGAAAAGAAAGAAAGAAAACGTTGTACCTATAAATGATATGAAGTGATTTGGAAAGACGAGATCCAGCTGTTCTACTGACTATCTAATAAGTTATAGGTTTCATGCCTAATGCTTTCTTTATCGCACAGAACACGAGCTAAGTAGGCTACGGCTGAGTTTTTGTACTTTTTAGTGAGAGCATATAGTTTTCTATATAGACTTCTGGTTCTGTCTGCACGATGCTTACCCATATCCATATAATTATCTATGCGTGTCAATCAATCAAGTAAATTTATGAAATAGTAAAACACTACTAAGTTGTTCTCATCTCAAAAACCTTTCTTTGAGTTTAGGAATTTAACCTAAATTCTCAGTTGTCTGCATTGTCATTTCATTTACGTTGCTAGAACTGACTGGGATTTCTGCTACCCGGAATCGATTTTTTATACACCGGGTAGTTATGAGCTACGCTTATTGCGTATATTTACATGTGAGTGCGTGTGTGTGTGTGGTGATACTATCCAATTGTCCAGACTAAGAAATAAATAGAGCGGAACTCGAGCCTAGTACCTCTTGGCTGAAGAAACGCAAATGTGTTTTATCCGATGTTGAACATCATTTTGTGTGACAGACGGACAGATAGATGAATATTAATGTCTCAAGTTAGTCAATTTTTTATCTTTTCTTCCACTTCCCCCCCCCGCCCCCCACCCTTCGTCCTTTTCTCTCTGTGATAACTTGAAGTGATAGGATGTAATAAACATTGCTTCGATTTTTAAATGTTGGTTTACTGGGATTTGATTGGTTACAAGATTTCATCGGCTAGAGAACCAGTGGAAAACATGGGAGTATTGGACAGCTGTTCCGCTCTAGTTTGGATTCTTCATCAGTATGCACTTTTTGCCATGGTTCGAAGCCAGGACTTTCGAGTTACGAGGCGACGACCGACCTCTTAGACCATTCAGCCACTGGGATCCAACTCAGTGCCTAGTCCCCGAATTCTGGCTTGTACCACCCGACTTGCTGTACCCCACTGGTACCGATTCCCACTAGAAATTCAGTAACTACCTAATACTTGAATATGACCAGTCGTTAGTCGGTATCAGGTGGTTTGCAGGGATTTCACTGAGTGGGTAAAGGATTTCATCATGAGCTGAAATCGATTAGAGAACACTTCAATTGAAAAGTATTCATAATTGAAATGTAGTGACACATAATTCATGCTTGATTAATAATGGCAACTGTTTTTATTGATTTCAGTTTCTCTCTCTACCTTTTTCGATTTCTTATTCAGTAGACACACACACACACACACGCAAGTTTTGTCAGCCTAATGGATATAGAATTGATCATATATGGCTACAATATTTTTATCTGTTTAAGCGGCCATCATAATAACTTCACCGATGTATTATATGCATGACCTCATTAATCAACCGGTAATGAAAGGAGTTGATCATTTATAGCATATTTTGCATATATGTATGTATATATATGTGTATACTTGTGTGGATGTGTGTTTGTGTTTGCATAGAGTGAGTGTGTGAAAGAGAGAAAGAGAGTTCTCTTTTTACGAGCAAACGATTAAAAGTGAAATGAAAGTCGATAAACAAACTACATGACCTCACCTGCCTACTGAAAAGGAAGAAGAGAGTCACATCAACTATGATAATTAAATGAATATACACGATTGAAAATAAAAATACCATCCTTCATTCTTCATTTCATCCTCTAAAAAGGAATATTAACTATAGGATGGTGTATTATTATTATATATTATTGATTCCTTTAACTCCTAGAGGAACATAGGGCTTCAGCCGCACGTCTCCATTGCATTCGAACCTCCACCAACTTTTTCATCTAGCTCCACATCTATCCAGGTGCTATCATCTCCTGTTCTCATGACCTCCTCCATGTCACCCTCACACTGACGACCAACTCGCCGACTTTTATTCGGGTTCCACTCGAGTGATCGCCTGGCGTGTGATGTCACTTGATGGCTTTCTCGAATTATTATTATTATTGTAACCTAGCGTTCCTAGTGGTACATAGGGCTTCAACTCCACGTCTCCACTTGCCGCTTCTGTCTTCCTTCTGCTGTACTTTTCACCTGCATCCATGTTAATCCATACTGTTTCAACTCCTCTTCACACGATCTCCTCCATGTCACTCTTGCACTGACGTCCCACTGGCCGCTTCCCTTTCGGCCTGGTTCCACTCGAGCGATGGCCTGATGCGCGCGATCTCACCTAGCGGCCTCCTCAGTGAGTGTCCATCTCCATCCATCTCAATTCACTTTCTCCTGCATATTTGTTGGTTGGCGATTGGTTGGTTCTTGTTTTGTTTTTTTGTTTGTTTCCATACTTTCTTGTTGGTGATTCCTTCCTGTCCGGCCATCTGATCTTCAGTATAGATCCAGCAAAGACATTTAGTTGTTGATAAAGGTATGTCTGCAACAGGCTGTTGGAAATATTCTTTGTGACCCGCCCGCCGAGTTTCTGATCCGTATAGAAGAACTGACTGACTTGACGTTGTTTGTATTGAAAATCCGACTGGATTTTGTTGTTGATACTGAGTGATAAAGATTTCCAGTTTAGATTTGTTTCAGGTTGATGAATTTGTGTGTTTCTCGCCTGCCTTTCCGATTCTCACTCGATTTGACATCCTCGTCCGTCCCTGTGACCTGTAGTTGAGACAATGCTCAATGCTAGATAAGTGAATGAAGTAACCTCTTTCAAATCCCCCGCGTTGATGGTGATTGGCACTGGATGTTGCTGCTGTTATTGTTGTTGTTGGTTGGTTTTCTCGGATGGAATATGTGTATATGCTACAGATAAATATCCGTAGTTAGAAATCGATCCTACCTGACTACAGTGCACAGATCTTCACCAGTTCAAGTTACCACTCTCCATCCATGTACCACACAAAGCAAGAAAAGAGAGTGAAGAGATATTCAAAAGATAGATAATGAACAGAAGTATGAGTAAGGCAAAATAATAGCAAAATGGAAGAACAATAGATTTTTATTGAATGTGACAAATCACAACAAAGAGTAAATGTATCTGTGCCTTCATCGAGAACGACTTAGAGCTCATATCACTAATTATCTCCAGCCTTCATTGGTTGCTACCATTCCGAGGACCCTAAATCAGACGGTCAGTGGTCAGGAAGTGTAGATTTGCCTACATGACTGGTTGGCTTAAACTAACTGTTATGGATTTCATTGACTGATGGCATGTTGGTATTGGTTTGAGCACCATTAGCTAACTTTTTTCCAACCTGATCCATCGTATGTCAGCTAACATTGCCTGTCAAGGAAGGCGAAAGCTGGACATGCGTAACTTATGTCCTAACCATCTCAATCGATTCAGCTGCTTCACAACCTCGTTGATTGATTTTTCAACCTTACCTAACACGCGACCGAAGCCTAATCTGAATATCAATCACCACATTATAACTACGAGCTAATATGGGAGATAGAAAGCAGACGTATTTTCAAAGGATGCTTACCATGCTTTTCCTGTCTTCCACTCTCAATGACCGTGTATAGCTCACAGCCATAAAAGAGGACGGATGGAAGGGCTGCTGTGCAGTACACACGTCATTTGAACGGTAGCCAGTCGGATATCACATCTGCTAAGCTAGAAATGGCATAATTTGTCAGGCGAATGCCAAACGAGCGTTCTGTATCCTTACTGAGAATTTATTAGCAATCATTTCATTAGGACTGAAGCAGTTTTCCAAATAACTGAAGTGATCAACACGCCCTACCACTCCACTCCTCCCTTTATTTAATCTAGGAGTGAGTCGGTGTAGTTAATTTTAGTTCATCTTACACAAATTTGGCAGAAACGGGTGAATCGCACGTCAAACATTCGAAGATGGCTGTTCCTCAAATTGTTCAGAAGACTCAAATGCATTTTGTCAGCGTCTTCACCTAGGAGAGAAGACTGTTTCATCAGCATATTCAAAGCCAATGAGACTATTATTCCTTGGTAACAAGCAAATCTGTGAGTCTGAAGTCAGCTAGGGTTAAGTGCATTAGTGCATCTATGGTGCAATCAAGCAGAAGGCGAAACCAAAACCTGACATTAGTCCATTAAGTCTTTTACTATTGTTTTGAGCCAACCAAAAATGGAGGTGTAAACTGCCTGTGAATGAATGGCCTAGTTGCATTCACTCGATGTGATTCGTCACATCTGTGGTATTCGTATTATTCTTGAAGTAATTATTTATTCCTTCTCTTATGTCTTCGTTCATTGTGACTGCTTAGCAGTTTTGTTCTCCCTAAATTTATGTAAAGTATGAGAATTTTGAGTTAGTGGACTTTTTATGAGAAATCTCTACGGTGAAAATTCATTTCAGTAAGTGTTTAAACTGCCTTAATTTCCATTCTGTATGACAAGTAATCCACAACGGTTTAACTCATGGAAACCTTCGAAGTGAATACAGGAGTAAGACAAGCTGGCTGCCCACTACTATCTCCAACGATTTTGCTGATTGCGGCAGACTAAATAATGTGGCACACAGCGGGCAGCGAATAAACAGGTATAATTTGGACCCACACAAAAAAAACTTGTAGGATCTGGACTTCACCGACGATATATATCCGATTTCCCACAAACTGGAAGATATGCAAATGAAAATCAACAAGTTGGCAGAAGATGCATCCAGACAAGATAGGACCTCCTTCAGATGGACACAGAGAAGAAAGAGGTAGGTGATGAAGATTCCTGGCCAACACCAACAACAACAACAGACAACAGTCAGCCAGCATAAATGGGATGAACCTGAAAGAAACAACCTCCTTTACCTACCTACCTGGGTAGCATCGTTTCAGCTATAGGCGGACGGGACTGATGAGGATATCAAAGGAGCGAGGATCGGGAAAGCAAGACAAGCTTTCATTACTCTCAAGTCTGTGCTACTGTACGGATCAGAGACTCGGACAGCGCGTCACGAAGGGCGCACTCCGAACAAACTACAGACTTTCATCAACAGCTGTCTTCGCTCACCACTCAAGATCAAATGGCCGGTCAGAAAAAATTAGCAACGGGGATCTCTGGCAATGAACGAACCAACCCAGCAGGAACCAGCTGTGCAGGAAATATGCAGGAAGAAATGGAGGTGGATTGGAGGCCATATTCTGAGGAAACCATCAAGCCATCACTCGAGTGGAACCCGACTGAATGGGAAGCGGCGAGTTGACCGTCAGTGTGAGGGTGGGGTGACATCGAGGCGTAGGTCATGTGAAGAGGAGATGAAAGCATGTGGGCAGACGTGGAGCCAGGTGAAAACGTTGGTGGAGGTCGGAATGCAATGGAGACGTGGGGATGAAGCCTTATGTTCCTTTAGTAACTAAAGGAGACAATGATAATAATAATAATTTTCATTGCCTTCCGTTAAACAATAATAATTTACTCCATTTTGTAGAATACTCTAAACAAACAGCAAGTTGGCTATTCTAACTTTTGGATAGTGTTCGAAATAAGATCACATTCAATAGATTAATAGGCATAAATTAACAAATTTTGTAAAACAGGAAATTGATCTAATCGTTAAGGATCAAACCGGTTCTTGATTAGGATCAATGTTTTGTTTATTTATTTATTTATTGAATATACATATGCATAACACATTGAAAGACATAATGGGATCTTTGACTACAGTTTTATTTCTGAATAGTTATTCACAGTGAAATTACATAATTCAGAAAATATTGACTCATGAGTGGTTGAATTGATTTCTCACTGGTGGGGCTCCTGTCAAACAAGTGAGATAAACTCAACTATGTAGGAGGAGTTTTGAGTTTTATCACGAATTGATGTCAGTCATAGAATCATTGAAAACCGAAGAGGGAGTACTGCACCGCTGTTTTTAGTCCTAGTTCAAGATTCATTATTATTTCCTTTAATTCCTAGAGAAACATAGGGCTTCAGCCAAACGTCTGCATTGCCTTCGGTTCTCTGCTAAAGTTTTCACTTGGCTCCACGTCGGCCCACATGTTCTTATCTCCTCTTCGCATGACCTCCTCCAAGTCACCCTTGCACTGACGACCAACTCGCCACTTCCTATTCCGGTTCCACTCGAGCGACTGCTTGTCTAGTGATGTCATTTGGTGGTTTCCTCAGAGTATGGCCAATCTATCTCCATTTCTTCCTACCTATTTGTTGCACAGTCGGTTCCTGGTTGGTTCGCTCGTTGCCAGATATCCCTGTCGCTGATGTTTTGTGGCAGGTCATCTGATCTTGAGTATTGAGCGAAACCTAGTTGTTGATGAAGGTCTGTAGTTTGTTCGAAGTGTCCTTCGTGACGCGGTGTCAAGTTACTGATCTGTGTAGTAGCACTGACTGACTTCACATTGGAGTTGAAAATCCGAACCTTGTTTTGCATGATGGTTGCAGGGTAAGCAACGTGCCACTTAACCAACCAGCTTGTTAATATTCTGGTCGACAGGTACATGGACTCATGTGAAAAATGGGCGAAATCCACTCTATCTAACTCACACCACCCTCTTCATTCATTCACAACT